TGATAATGAAATTGGGTCAATTGCAAGAGATTTTCAACCAAATTTCAGCAAATTTCATTACGTTTTCAGCAAAATTTTTCCATCAGGGAAGTGTTACATTTACTCAAAACCTATTCTGGTTCTTAGTAAGTCTAGTACTTGAAACAAGAATACATAGAATTATTTGGAGCAAAACAATTTTGTTTCTTCTGACTTTATTAAAAGGAGCATATGGAATTCTTCAATAAGTTTTATAACTTTCTTCAAAGAAGAATAAAGTCTTTCTTTGAGTACAAGATGGCAAGCTTTTCTAAGACTAGTAACAAGTATATCTTAAAACTATTATTAAGAAAATATTCTTTGTTGAAGCAAACTATTACTTAAACGGAATAAAATAAACTGAGTAATTACTTTTCTTGACTGTACAATAATATTTTTCTGTATGTGGTAATTGTATATCGTCAGTAATTTGAGAGCAAATTTCGTAAGATTAAACGACCTGCACTGGCCAATGTTTGTATTCAAAAGCCGATTACAACGTTTCGGCCCCGGATTTAGGCTCTTTTCAAGTGATCTGAAATCGCAAATTGCAAATTATAAAACAATGCCGAATCGCAAATCAACTATAAATTCATACCCGAGTAATAATTACTGTGTCATTAGTCAATTTGGCCAGTAATGAAAATTATATTCTTCCAGCAAGAGTTATATTTTTGAAAACTCTCCAAAGTCCGAAATTCATATTTCTTTAGATATCGCAGTGGTTGGAAAAATAAGTACTCTTTCGAGGTGAAGAAAGTTCCCTCAACGTTGCCTTCGACTTGGTCGCGGAGGATCGCGACAGGAGGTACGATTTGTCACGGGAAGGTCTACGTCGATGCTCGCTGTCGCTGCTTACGTAATTGACAACACAAGTATACTCTGCCCCGCGAAGCCAACGTGTATAGCAGCCGCCGTACACGTATACAATACCGCCATCAGCTATAACGATTCACCTAAATATCGCCGCCAATAATGCGATATATTATGTCGCGCAGTTGCGAGGACAATCAATCTGCCCATCGAGCGAGCCATCAGCAAGGTCATGAAAAATGTAAAAAAACTGGTCAAGTATGCACACGCTCGTCGCGAGCAACATTGCGAATGCTAAAAGATCGTTATGCTGTAATAACGTTGCATGAACATGTCACTGCCCACGAGCAGCGATTTCCTTCGATCGCGATACGGCTTGACGGCGAAACGTACCGGCGACCCTCCGGAATCCGTCCACCTCGCTGATCGAGCTCCGCTGATCCGCGGAAAAAGCTAGACCACCTTTCACCAATATTTTATTTCGAGCTCTCAAGGCCGCAAGATTGTCCGATCGTATTGTTCGCTGTATCATGCTGACATTCTTGTTGCGTTTCCCATTGACGAGGCAAGAGCGACGATTTAAGGAGAATATTAAATATCCTTTCTATTTCCAAGGAAATTCGACTGCGAATGTCGTATTTTTTAACGTCAGTCAAATTACATCGCATTCTACTCAATTAATCTTTTACACTGGTGCATTTGTCAGCGCCGTTTAGGCCTTAAAATTTCACTATCGTACATCAGAGGTACAAACCGGTGCCTAAATCGCCGCTCCGATGAAGATAATGCCGCGCGTGACGATGGAAAACTAGGGAAACGTGGCACGAATTCGAGCCTTGTCAAGATACAGAAGATAAATACGATGCACTGTATGCATTGGATCTAGGCTCGATAACGGCACAGCTGTTATCTCCGCGAAACTTTCGCGGAAAAAAACAGCGTGCATCGTTAATTTTCCAACCGTGGCCGTTATCGTGCGCAGAGATTCATATACTATGATTATACGAATTTTATCAAAATCATCGTATAAACCGATTTCCTTTATCGTAATGCATATTAAATTATGAAGATAAGATTATTTAAAATGCTCCGAAAATACCTTACGACGTATTCTTTTGTTTGTATTTCAATGTATCGGGACAAAGTATGAAACGTCTCGCAGCATTTCACACTTTTCACGATAATCCTATCGTACAACTTTACATATTGAATAACAATACAGAAAAATCACTTTAATAAAAATGCATGATTTTTGTCAGGACTGTTTCTACAAGCTAGCCACAAAATATTTCCTTCAACTTGTACAAGTAAAAAATCTCTTTATCGAAAAGGAATTATTACTAAAATATTCCCTTCTCCGTGTTAATATATTAAAATGTATTTTCTGCTCGCAAATATGCTATTATATAATGTACACATGTATTTAATCAGTCATTTGACTAACACATCGCATTTGTATAGAGAGAATATACTTACAAAATACATATGTATATATTTGTACGAGTATATTTTTCTATAAATATATACTGTAATGTCATGGATGTAGATTCGTAATTCCTCCACAAATGCTAGATGTAGGGTAAAGTGGGGCAAAGATCCGCACGGGGTAAAGATCCGCAGGCGCTTTTTAAAAATCGCGACAAACTTTGACGCGATTAGGAGCTAATTTCATGTTGGTACAGGTGGTGCCAACCTAACATCAAAAAATTTTGCGATTACATCGCGCGATTTGCTAATCATGAGGTAAGAACTGTTTTTGTCACTTTAAATGTAATATTCTCATAGCTTTGACTGCAAATTATAATTTTTCACACTTCTTCCGAACCCCCATATCAATTTGCATATCTGATAAGGATCAGAGCTAGCCGCAACAAACAGATGTTTAATGTTACTCCAAGCTTGAACTCCATCTTGTCATTATAGTGTCACGTTAAAAAATGGGGTAAAGATCCGCAGTGCCAATGAGGCAAAGGGCCACATGCGGATCTTTGCCCCCCCAGTGTTTAATATTTATGTAGCATAGGGTATAGTTTTGTTTTTAGGACTTACAAAAAGAAAACCGAAGTAAAGCCCTTTACACCCGAGCTACAACCGAAATTTTCTGAAACGAGCGAGGAAAATACAATTTCCTGCAGTGATGTCGTCAAAAGACTGTCTCAGCCAATTTTGGGGAGCTCTGGTCGCTTTCAGGGGATGTTAACTTTTCCCAATAACTTTGATCAATATCCAAACATTCTTGGATGAAAGACGTTCACCATACAAATACCTAATTGTTTTTTTACCGAGGAGCAAAAGTCCGCATGTGCGGATCTTTGCCCCAAAAAGAGGGGCAAACGTCCGCAGGTGTAGGGGTCTAAAAATGGGTTTCATCATCTTTAGTTAAGTGGTAAATGAACTGATACTGCTATGTTAGTTGGCTCAGATATTGATCTTCGCCCAGTCATTTAAAGTTTGTTTACTTTTATATAACCAAAGACTGAAAAACAAAATTTGTGATTTTTGCGGACCTTTGCCCCACCTTACCCTATATAAATTTCCATACTAGAAGCGCTTTTATTTCTTCGTTTTATTATGTATACTAAAAATTGTGCGTTTTATAATTCACGCGTATCCCAAACACTGAGCGTAAGCGACTATTTCGAGTTGAGTACTCAGCAATTTGTGTATATACGTCAAAATGTATATCGCCAGAAAAGCAAAGTACGCGTTTGAATAATTTTGAAAAATTTAATCTCACCGCAATTCTCCTTTTCTCACTACTCCGTAGGTTGTATACTTGTAAAATTGTATACCGGATATCTTGGTGCAAAATGATTAGCTAGGCCGTAAACGTGCTCAGATTCACCGCGCTCGCGAAGATTTTTAGCGCCACGTGACGATTCCTCGAAGGACGGTGGAGCTGAAAAGAAACATTCGTTTTTACGAAAAAGTTATTTCCACACAAAACCTTGATTCTATTACATAAATAGATTCCTTCGTCACAAATCCATCATACCGTTATGCCTCTTATTTGAACAAACAAGACTAATACGCAGGAACTCACGTAAGTTTGGATACAAATTAGACTCGGGTAACGGAAGCAGTGCAGTATTCGCCGAAGGTATAACAAAACCAACTGCCGGTGGTTTCCGTTCGGCGTAATCACCGTCCATTCCCGCCGGTGGAGCACTCGGGGTATGATAAACCGTAAGCGGAACCGTTCCCACAAAGACAAGCGTATTGGCCAACAGATTCCGATGATACCTACAGAATATTGCAAGTCCAGATTTATTTTAAGAAGAAGAGAACTAATTGAAATGAGCAAACTTTATAAAAATTTTGCACATTGTAAAGTTGATAACGATTGAAATAAAAATGCATGAAATAGACATTAACCATCCTTCAACGCATGCTTCCACCTTCAAATTATATTCAAGATCGATGATGCGGCAATTAGCGAGATTCGATGGTGGAAGAGGCGGAATGTCGAGATGCTGCTCGTAATCAGCGGTTCCACGAGCCTCGATCGGTCCTTTGCTGATCTCCGTTACCACAATTTCTTCCGTTTTAGTGTCCGTGCGTGGCGTGGTAGCACGGAAAATTACAATCTGAACTTCACGATACGTTATTACTTGTCGATACATTTCGGAAAACATCAAGGCTTACGACACCATTGAGAAATATTGCCCTTCGAATCGATTCAATCAACGGAAATTTCGTCGCAAAGCAAAACTGCTTGTTGCCTTACCTTACACAGCATGAGTCTGATGGTGTTCACAACGACGTTCGATAAATTCTCTACGTTTATCTTGATTGGCATGGATTGTCCGGGCACGTATCCTCGAGTCGGTAGTGAAAAGTTTACGGTCAAAGGTGGCGAACCGCAACATAAGCAACCAAACGTTTTACTCATTTCTTGCTCAACAGATTCCTAGAAATATAATTCTACGATTCATTATTCGTATTACTGCAATAAAACTACTCTACAATTTTATCCTCGACAAGCTCCAAGTTGCAATAAATGGCACAATATACAATACAAAGTTTTAGCTATAAGAGTTATTAAAGTTATTTGCTCAGAAAATTGTAAATTTTAATCTACCCCTTTAATGATTAAAATGATAAATTAACCAAACTTGGCACATACAGCTGCTCTAGGTTCTTGATTCAAATCCAAAGGAGCGACGATTGTGAAAGGACTCTTGACGTCTTGATCGAACTTCCAAGGCCGATCCAGTGTAGCTTTCACGGTATAACGAACGTGTCCAAAGTCCGATTCGAAACTACTCGGCAAGTTCGTCGGCAGGGAACAAGTAAATGGAAATTTATGTTCTCCTGATTGTATTTCAATTTCGCCACCTAGTAAAAGAACATAAGTGAAGGATAATAAAGTAAAGATATACAAATAAAGAGGAGAAACGGAACGAAAAATACAAATGACTCAAATTTCAATTGCTGACAGAGCTTTTAAATAACATTGCTTATTTATTGCTTAGACTTTTCCCATCTCATAAAAATTTAGTAAACGCTCTAACTCTACCCGAGGCTGATCCAACCAAGTAATATTTCGTTTCGAAATAATCTTCGTGAGCTGTGACAGTCTCATCCTGATATTGTCCTTTCTCATCAATTTCTTCTTTCACTGCTGCCCAACAGGTATTGGCCTCACCTTTTATTTTCACACTTATACCTGTGTAGAAAAGATTGCGAACATTAAAAATATGCTCGAAAAAGCACAATTAAATATCAGCTAACACTTGTTCATCATTAACTTATCAATTTTGCCTTTTTAAGTGATTAACTTTTTACCAATTTGTTTATTTCTATCTACCTTATTGTTAGCGGTACAAACTCAACGGAGACAAAGTGTCCGAGTAGTAGAGAGACTTTGCGCGGGGGAGTACATGTGGCAGTTCTATAATTAACTTTCATACATTTTATGTGCACGTGTGCAAAAATAGAAAAAGACTGCTCGCGGCGAGCAGTCATTATACCCTCAAAATTATAATCCTTTGACGAAAGAGATTGGAAATGGATTTAAATCAAATGTTCAACTTGCAAATTTCGAATGCATTCTTTTAAGTGAAATAACTGAATTAATTTAACTCGAAGGCATTTTCAAACA